ATCATTATGAAGTTATTACAGAGAGATCTGGTGATGATTTGATTAGCAATGAAATTTTTCAAACCCAGGTAACCGTACTATAATTTAATATGAAGTATGAGTGGATATTACGATGACAAAATTACATCAGTTTAGGTTAATTATCACTCACAGTTGACTTAACGCATCACTTTTTAAAATTTTTTATGGTGGAACAAGAGATTATTAAACAGGTCAGTAATATCTCATCAAAACGAATAACATTATGATTAACTGAGATATTTTATACACCTATTAAACTAAATGGTGTGTCATTATTTTTTTCCGATATCCTATATCTTAAGTAAACTTCATGTTCTCTAAATGTAATTAGCACAATATATACTCATTATAATCAAAATTTTCACTTTTCATGCAACTCAAATAAACAGTTCGACTAGGTGCAGTCGTTTTTGTTACTACTCTAGATGGAATATTAGATGAAGAGTGAAATTATTAAATGTTCTAATCGATAGTCCATAGGCTTAAATATATGCCAAAATCATCTGTAAACTAATCAAATATTCTACTCTTAATTACTTAATTTATCCAAATAAGTGAAACGATACTAAGGATATGAATCAATAAATGTTATGTAACAATACACTTTATCAAATTATTCCCCTTGATTACATATATTCAATCATGTGGATAATGAAATCATTATCAGAGTATGTAATGTCTATGATACTTGAGCCGTAGTTTCTATTCATGATTGAAATGAAACGATTAGGTTCCAACTTAACTGTTGTTTGGCAGGAAAAAATATTTACTAAATTGTTTTAACTATATCATATTATAAAATATGAAAATAATTATTGAATATCAAGTGTGTATGTGTATATAATATGGTATAAATATTTCGAAGTGATTGAAGGATATATTACGATAAGATTAATTCTTTCAACATGATCACTTCATGTACAAAAAACGACAGATTAAATTTAGTCAAGGGATAGATTACACAAGATATATTTAATAGGATTGAAAATGATCAAGGTGGTTGATTTGACTTCAAGGCATTTATACGAATTTTTTTAGATATATATGTGATAATATGATTTAATGACTGGCTTTTACTTTAGTTTAAGGCTACATTCATATTCAAAGAAATTTTACAAAACAAGGTGACTAAATAATTGTTTTGTGCTTACTAATGACTGGCTTTGAGATTGACTTATTAAAGTTTGATTTGGGAACTATGACCTGTAAATATGAGGACTTTTGGTGATATACATTCAGAAAATGAATGGTATAATACGATTGTTTGGTCACTATACAGAAACAAATTTCATGTTTGTCTAATCCTTGAATTCTGATTTATTTCTATCGATCAATTTGTAATGTAAACGGTAGTGTGAATATATAGACATTGTCCTTCGATGTTAGGTGGTTGGATATATTTGTCAGAAAACCATAAACCTATGTTTCATGCTAAGTAGCATTAATCAACAGAACGTGCGTACGATTTTGGGAGAATCGATGCTCTCTGATTGATGCGGAACCCCTCCACACAGCTTCAAAGTCTAAGGATTTACCATTGAATTGTTTTAAAAGTGCCACGTTTTGTAAGTACTTGATCGTTACAGATTCGATCGTGTATGTGGTTGTGAACATGTATTGCCTATGATTAACACAACAGGATGAGGTTTTCAATGGTCTACCAAGTGTTAGTTCTAATCTATTATGACCATAACAGACTTTCTATAGGATGAAGATATTTACGGTGAATTGCAAGCAATGTTATGTTTCTCTGGTTTGTACCATGAAACTTAGGTTCATGGGTTCAATCACTTTGAAATATGTGGTACTTAGATTCAAACTATTGGATGTAAAATTTCTTAAACTAGTGGACATATTATATATTGGTCAACAGCACTACTGGTGAGCAAACAAAACATATTTCTATCAAATCGTCTGTTCAAATGGTCATAGAAACAAGCCATTGGATATTACTCAGTAATAAATCAGGGTAATTTTTTCCTTGTCGATTATCTATGTCGTTCTTTACAATCCTAATCTTGCAATGTAATTATATTATAACAAGGTTGCTTTTATTTTACTGATTGATCTTCTAAATATAAGTAATTTTAGGTAAGTAACATATACAGAACAAATTATACCCACTGATCAAATAGGCTTGTAAAAAATTTGATTCACAACTTTAATATGATAAGTTAGGTTACCGAATCAATACTTCTCGAATTCTTGTTTGAGGATTATTTTATATCGACCTGTGAAATGTAGTAACAATACAGAAATTAACTAAATAACTGTTTTGCACCTGAATAGAGTTCAAGCACTATGAGTAGGTTTTGATTTGCTATGAAGTAGATATATCTTCCAAGTTATTTTTACTCAGCTGAATATCTCATTTAAGGTGATCTTATTATATATGATTACCAATGCTAATCATTATTTTGACATTTTCAAATTCAAAACCGACTAAACCTTGTGAAATGCAGATTAATTCAAACACAGTTAAGGGCTATGCATAGGTGTGTTCGACTTGGAGATAGTTTCTATGTTAAACCAAATCTTAACATGTTGAATTGCGTTGAAAATAAACGACCATTAGATTTATAAAAACCGATAGGAAAATACCCTAGTCACTGGAAGAACTGTTGATATTCGGTTCGGGTATGTTCACCATGGAATGTGCCTATCAGGGCTCCTTAGTTTTCAGTAGTGTTTCAGCTATTATCAGTACATCATAAAATTTACCATTGACTTTAGTCATATTCGAATATTTTGAAAATTAATATATACACATGCCTATTAAGGTACAATTTATCAATGTCTTGAGAAAAAAGCGCATTTCGAATCAGTTAGACAGTAACACTAGTAAATGATTTTATGAGATTCCAAAAGGAGGCTACATTTGTCATAATATGAACGAAATAATTTGAACCTGTATATTAATGAGTGTCGTCCATTTTATTCGGAATCAAACTCAAGTATATGAAAGTTTGTGACAATTTTAATATAACCTATATAGAAAATGACTGTCTCAACTATTATCGAGACTCAATAAATGTTCTATCCAAGTCAACTAATTTTCCTTAAATCATATTGGGAAAATGAAGATAACTTAGGTGGATCAATTAATAATATTTTTATTAGATGTTAGTTTATAGATATTTCTATACATATAACTATGACTATTACTATTGTGTAGTGTTTATATTCACCCAATTTCAACCTGAAACATTTAGAAAGAAGATAAAGTAACTTAGTTTTTCCTAACAACGCTTTCTAAGTATCTCCTCAAGTTGTTTAGTTACGATATTTTTGTTAAAATAACTCACTATATATGTGTACTTAAAGTGTTCAGTATAATCGTTATAGTTTACTAGACTTTCCGTTTAAATAAGAAATCATTATAACTATATTTCTTATTATTATTAACAGGGTCAGGATCAAAGATAACCATTCTATTTTAAAAAGTAGTATCATTATACTACTTAATAAGTAGCCTAAATGTAATAGGCTATAATAAGTAAAATTTAATTTACTTTAATCTTTTTCTTGATGAATTGAATTTCTCATATGATTAAATTAGCTTAAATTTTAATGCACATACATATGAGTAATACATCATATGAAATATAACTAAATTCGAGTCATTGTAAAATACATCCATGTCGTAAAATATTCGGTGATGTGTTAACAAGTGAACTGATTCACAAATGGAAATTATATTAATTTTATGATCCTCAACAGTAGTCCAACTTCATTTGTAAAATAAGTTCAGTCTTTAAGGAAATCGGTTAACCAGAATTTCTCTGTGTAAATTACGGTTGATACAATGTAAAAGGAACTTTCATATTGATAAAATCCTTTGCTGTTCCAGATTTCAAGTCCAACCAGTAAAGTACTGACGATAAATATGTTTTAACTGGGGTAAAATAACTCAAATATTTATTATCGATTTAGTGTACAATGAAATTTTGTTTTGGTTTTTATTGGTCGATTGTAATTAGTTGATTACAACCCGTCAGTCGAAAATTTCTAAAATCAACATGTCAGTTTAAATCTATCAATTGCAAACAGGTACCCAAAGTTCATCAAATCTTAAATACATTAAATAAATAAGCGCAATATTTAGTATATTACTCAACTCACTTGAAAACAGTATGTCTAACATAAACATAGATATAATTACCATCTGCATTGTATTTAATAATTAATGAACTAACATGAAAACAACTAATTTTGACCGATCTATAGTTATTAACCATGAAGTTTTTATAGAATTTATGTTAAAATCATGAAGTTTCTAACATCAATTGAACTTAATGACAGTACAACTAAAATAAGATGGAGAAGTGAATTATCTCTTATTCATTTACGTACATGAAGATTATAAATAATTGAGATATGACTGATTAACCGATAATTCTTCTGATTCTGAAGGTCACTGTATTCTTTACTGAAAATGTATTTAACTTAATCTTGGAATTTTATAAGTTCTCGTTTTTAGGACTTGAATTTTCACTTTGATAATAATAATAATAAACCTTAAGTTACTTTTAAGTTAGTTGTACAAAATATCATGCAATTTTCTTTAACGGTTACTAGATATGTAGTTTATATCTTTTAAGCCTTAAATATAATGCATGATTGGTAATCCTAACCTTATTTGCAAACGTCGTTCGAAAAACTAAGCCTTTATGAAAATTATCCATACAAGTAAAAAAAAAGATGTCTTGTAATATTGACAGATCTAGCATGAAAATGTTGCCTTGCTTAATATACTAATGGTCTATTAGCATTTTTGTCTGAAGAACATTGACTCTCAAAGGAGTTAAGTAAGGATTTGTTGTCTAGAATAGTGTAAGGAACTTACACATTTCTAAAATAAACTTTTTGATCAAGAACCAAATTTATGTCGTAAATATTAGGATAGAGTAAAATACATTAATTTTATTAAACGAAATCTAAAATATTTTAAGAAGAATGTTATGTATTTGTTATTTCAGTTGAAATGTTGTGCTGTTGAAGATAATCAAGCAGATTTATATCTTCGTTCTGTTTGGTATTCACGTCAAATACATCAGTCTTCAGTATTTGGAACAAATTCAATACGTTTATTATCTCAAGAATATGATAATAATTTAGGAATACCAAGTGTAGTAAATGTTCCAGTGTCATGTTGTGTATATTCATTGGAAATTAAAGAATTTTCAAATCGTACCGCTTGTCAAATTGGTTCTTTAAAATCTAATTTAAATCCATATCTTAATCCTCATGTAAGTTAATTTTGTTGGTTAATTAACTTTGATTATTCATTATATAAATTAATATTAACTGTCAAGAAGTTGTTTTATGTCTACAAGTCATTGATAGAAAGTTAATTATTCGATGAGGCATATCAATTACGATCATAATTAGTTATTTCTATTCAAACCAAAAAAAATTGTTCCAACCTTTTACTATAGAATGAATATATAGTTAAAGTTTCCAAATAAACCAATCCTGTATGAAGTATGAGTTTTTTAAATATTTTATTCGCCTAGTAAAAAGACCATTTAATTCCGACTTCTGTTTGACTGTTTAGTTATTTATATTGAATTTTTTTTTAAAAAGGAAACACAACTTAGAATCTATTTCTTCTATCGGTTCAATATATAGTTATTTGTATTCACTTTTATTAACAAAAGATAAGAAAGGTAACTGATGGTAAGAATATGTATGTATATACGTGTAAAAATAACTAATAAATTAAATAATAATTGTCTAGACAATTCATGTGATTTACAATATGGGTGGTAATTTCTATTTAACGTAAATATTATGGACATATATAGTTGGTTGCGTGGTGGCGCCATATGGCAACTAACAATCTGTTTCTGACAGCATAATTTAAGAGATTATTTTAAAACATGATCACAAATGTTTTTTTTCCTTATTTGAGTTTACTTTCAACGGGAAAAATATAAGTCGTTTAAACTGAGTTCGCTGATAATACAAGTTTCACTGATACTGTAGGCTTAAAACCATGATACACTCTAGATTCTATAAAATTAAATATCGTCATCTATGGGTGTTTAAAGTTGTTTTGAAAGATGATTTAACAGAATTCGTATGTTTCAAATAATACATGCTTGATTCATGAAAAACGATAAACAGTATTCCTTGCTACAAATTTTTTTTAGTCAGAACTATGTTTACTCTATTAGTAACAAGTAATAAACTGTAATGTTAAGATAACATAATATCTGCACAAATGTGAGTAAATCGTCAGGAAGTAAGAACTTTAATGACTCAGTTTTAATTTTAGTGGCTATTTAATGATTAGTTGGTAAGTTGTTTACTGTAAAGACGAATTTACTACAAATTCTTACTATTACTATATTGTAAGGAATTATCTTAAAACATTAGAATAATGTTTACCCATGAAGCAGCTGCTGAGCTCATTACAGTCATCTTCATTTTTAACTTCATCCTTCAACGATAATAGAGTTTGCATATATATATCATGTCTACATACTTTTTCAATATATATGTTTTCTAATTTACGTATAATATATATTATTATTGTGGTTCACAAAAGTATATAGTTGGTGGTTTAATTTAGTCCAACATGCGTGTGAGGTGGATAGTTGTCTCTACCTGACACGGATTAGCTCCACTAGATGCACACTGCTAAGGAGTTCCATGCATTTTAAATGTATTTATTAGTTACCGAGTAAGTAAAAAAAGAATAGCCTAAAGATGAATGTGATTTCGAGTTTTGTGAATTAGGTGCAAAGTACTTCACTGGTAGATACATAGTAGAATAAATAAATTAGGTCCAATAATTTTTCAAGTGTGTTATTGATATCAGTTTTCAGTAATCGCCATCATTAATTTATCTAGTCACATAATGGTGACTATACTTACAAACCGATCTGATTCATATCGCTAACTTATTTACTTAATTCTATTGCCCCTCATGGGACATAGTTCACCGACTGGCAATCTCCGACCAACTCTTCCTTGGCCTTTCCTTTCCATTTTTTTCAGGTACTGTTGATTTTTCTGCTGTCTGCTTCTGATTTCCAGTACAATTTGTTTATTGTTCTACCTCTTTCTCTTTTGCCTTGAGGATTCCAATTTAGGGCTTGTTTTGTGGTTTCATTTGACAGTTTCCAAAGAGTATGAACTATCCACTCCCAGAGTCCCTCCCGATTTCCTCCTCATCTGGAAGCTGGTTTATTATACAACATGGTTGATTACTGCTGATGGTCTCTGACGTATGGATCTGTGATATATTACTTAAACACATTTATAATGATCTATACCTTTTTGATGATAGTTGCGGTATAGAGACCAGATAAGTAGACAGCTCAGAATACAGATCGCGCCAAAATATATAAATAAACGATTGAGGGCTATGTATGTGTAAACGGTTTGTAACGTCATGTACAAAATATAGATTCTTTCTGCCTGTTACCTTTTTCAACAGTGGCATTTATTCGGGTTTGAGTTCCCTACGATGGGAATAATTTTAACGTTAATATTGAGTATTCTGATTTTGGTGTTGGATTATAATTGTTTTGAGCCGCAAATATTCTTCAGTTTTGAAACGCAATGCTCACAATACCAGTGTTCACCTCCACAATTTAGTCCGGAGTTCCGTATTATAATGATTATATTCTCAGGTACTCCAAGGTACCAAAGACGATTCCGTAGGATTACCCTATCTTCAATGTAAAATGCTTTTTTATAGTCAAGGAAGTTGATGAAGAGATGAGTTTCATCCAATCGACTGCTCAACAATTCGATGAAGGAATATGTGTCGCGATCTCCTTTTAAACACATAAATAGTTTTTGACGCTTGATAACAAGAGCTTCAGCAAACTTCAGAAGACTGGTGCTTGGTTGTTTGTTATTCACTTTGAAGCACTACAAGGTGTCCCGTATTCGAAGTTAAAATCCACTCGGGAGCACGAATTACCAAACATGGAACGAACATTATGTAATCAAAAATTATAAAAAAGAAAAATTCAGTAATTCTGCTTTCCACTGATGACAAGACTTTTTACACAGAGTAACATTTGCGTTTCATCAGCTTTGTCCCTTCTCATTTAAAAGAGGTCTTGTTAGATCGTTGTTTTGAATGGTAACCAAGCTTTTTAATGAAGATTACCTTAATAGGTATGTGGGAAATATTCAACAAACTTTAGTCGAGAACAAACGTTTATTAATGACCAATTTCTAAAATAGACTTCCACAACAAGGCATTATCATTAAAAGGAATAAATTTTTTAGAACGTCGTTTAACGAGGATGACTATCTTCATTTAGGTCATATTATTACTTTCAAGTTACAGTTTTTATCATAACTATTCTTAATATTTTAACCCCATCCAATGAACTGTTTTATCTCTTGTCAATATAGCCTTCCAAATGACTGCGTCTTTTTATACCATTTTCAACTATCATTATCACTACTAATGTGATTACCATTATTATGATTACTTTATTTACCATTGTCTTTTAGCAGTTATTTTTTCCACTCTTAATTGCAATAATTAGACAACGTTTTTGTAGTCGATTACGTCACGACCTCTCTTTCTCTCTTTCCCGTTTATTCCATTCATCCATTCAATAAATTTGTAACATACAAATAGTGAATTAACTGACACATAAAATAATATTTGTTAAACATTTTATTTCTTCATAGAAATTATTTCACGTGTGAAAAATCTTGAGTACAATAAATGAAGTGAATTTACTTCATCCTAAAATGTTTATTGTTCTTTTTTTTTACAAAAGTTTACCATAGAAACTAATTGCATGAAATTGGGAGACGTTTAGACGTCTATATGCCTACTCAATGACTGTTTTTATCGAGATCTTTAGCAAGAAAAACTAGCTTAGAGTTAACATAGTGAAATGTATTATTGTAACCTCCTAGATCTAAAGGAATTTTTATACTCAAAAACTACTTATGATATGACCTACTCGTTCATCTGAGTCATTATCATATTATTTCTAATATCACTACGATTGATTTTAACCAACAATACTTTTATTTCGGTGGATGTTTATAAAATTGATCGTTTCTCCTCATCTACAATAACTGCTTTATCTCTTATCTCATGATTCAGTTACATTACATTTGTTATTTGAATTATATGACCCTTAATCATTAATGATCATTCACGTTAAATTCATTTCTTGTCCCAACTTTTAGATCGTCATCCAAAGATTCTTACATTCAATTAAATTATCTTAATCACAAACTAAAATCATGCTTTGTACTGGCTGTTACAATAAAGCAGTCGTAGATTTGCTACTCTAAAGCTTAAGGTTGAAAATATCCGTTATATTTATTGATTTTAAGATTCCTTTTTTTGGCATTGTACAGTTGAAATTATGTAATTTCAAGCTCTAACCTATTTGGAAATGAAATACCAGCTAACTAACTTACTTACTTACTTACGCCTGTCACTCCCAATGGAGCATAGGCCGCCGACCAACCAGCTAACTGCATAACCATAAATTCATTTTATTTTTTATTTGTTCTGTTAAATTAATTATTTAACAGTAACCAAATGTCTTGTTCATATTTGTTAATCTATGTGTGATAAAAAACATAAACACTCGAATAAATTAATTTATTTTGTATAATTTGTGAATAGAAAGACAATTCGATTGAATAAAATATTGTAAAACATTGGATACATGTTTGCTTCGTAGATTTACAGATTCAAGAAAATTAACCTCTATATTACAGTCAAGAATTGAACATTTTGTTGAGGCATGGATGAGCGAAACCTGGGCCTTTCGAATAATGGATGGAGATATTACACAATGTATTCCTTAAGAGATTCTATACATTTCATTTTGTACGGGACTTAACGATATACACTAGTTTAGGTAGCTAATACGGAAACGATTATGTCACACTAGAACATATTCACTTATCAAAACACTGAAAAACGTTTCGTTAATACAACAATTTTGCCTCATTCAACTTACATGTTACTAATTTTATCATGCAAAAGTGGTTCGTGTTCGTCCAACTATTCCTGTTTTGTTGTCATCCGTGCTGGCTTGGAATACCATTTCGTTTAAAGACTGTGTCAATGAGCATCTCGTTAAAGGCTGTCGATCAACCATCACCTACTGATCTGGATTTTTTCTGTCATAACCATACACAAAACATAAATTCATGACACTATCAGCGGAGATTAAAAGTGATGTTTAAGATCCGAGTACCATTGAGCGTTTTTAAATAATTATCTATTCATGTGAATCAGTCATAATCAGAACATGTTATGATATCTTGGAATTTGTCTCAACAGGTTAAAATCTAAGCATAATTCAAGAGTTGTTAAGTTGCATTCTAGTGTAATTTAGAAGTATGCACAGAAGATGAAAATTTTAGATCACAAGAAGTGATTGAGAACTGTGACATAATGAAGCCGATGAAGTGGCTTGACGTCACTGATAGTTCAGATCCAATCTACCATCGTCAGAATTACATAAAAACGTTTTAACACAAACTTAGGAATAGTTATTTCCAATTTCTGTTTACTCAACTGTCCTGAGTAGACTAATCTATTCAGACACTATTCAGAAGCTATACATCAAAAAATATTTGTAGAAGCTATCGTTTGTAGCCCGAAAACTCTACTTAAGTATTCAAATTGATCGTAACGAATTGTGTAACGAATATAGTGAAAAACGGGAGGAATAGAATAAAAGCGCAGTCTCATGTCTATTGAATAATCTGGTGAAGACAAAAGAATATCTTGAACTTTATGTACATAAATTAGCTTTAGTCTGTGTCAGGAACAAAGACATGATTTATTAGAAACTGAAGAAATTAACGGAAAAGTCAAAATTGATAGTATCATAGTAATGTTATCACAGAGGTACTTTAAACTGTCTCTTGAAGGATGTTATATAACGAGTAGAATTAAACTTTATTATCAGGTCTTAATTTCATTAAAGCATAAATGGGCTACAACTTAACTACACATTAGGATTACTATGTGATCAAATACGATGCATCTAAACTGAAGTAAACTGAATAATGTATATTGATTTTAACTCACGGCGCTTTTCTATTTAAGGTTAAGATGGGGCTGAGAATGAGCGTTAAAAGAGGTCGGTCCTAAGTAATCGTTTGAGAAACAGTAATAATTTCGTGTTGATAAACTGATAAGTTCAGTTAGCTTCAAGCACAGACCTGAACAAAATGTAATAGAGCAGCTGAAAACTGAAAAGAATCAGCAAACTTTGATTTTCGGGCCTGAGAATTTCACATCAATATGTTACGTTGTTATATTAGTCTTATTTTCACTCTACAGTGAGTTTTACAGGATCTTTCAATGTATTCCAATATTTCTACATTTTGATATTTCTATTAGACTGCGGTTAAATGTCTCGACTTTTTCATACTTATCTAAAGTGTATTAGCTAGCAATGTTCTAATGATAAGCCATTTCCGTTTTCAGTGTATTTCAATATGATGCCCACTGTGTTTAGAATACTAAACAAATTCTATTCCAAGTTAACAGTAGTTATTCACTGATTACATATAGAGTGGTAAAATATGACCTTTTCGTTTTAATGAAACTATCTGCTTGGGATTTCCTTGCTTGATATATATATATATATATATATATATATATATATATATATATATATATATATATATATATATAATTATTATCTGGATTCAATAATTCTTTTTATCCGTAAAACAGATTATAGTAATTGTAGATTCTAGGCAATTAACAATTTAACCTGTTTATTGATTTTATTTACTAGGGTTGTGCAAATGTGATTATTGCCCTGCTGTATCAGTATTTCATCCCATTAATTATAATGGTTGTCATATTGGCCGTACTGATGGTAAGTTAGAGTACAGATGTATCTCAAAGTTTTTTAATCATTCATTTCTGCTTACAAAGCTTGTGACTTAATACAATACAAAGAAAATCTGAACAGGATGTACATATGCCAAAAAGAGACTGATCAACTGCAGTACTAAACATTACTGGAAAGATTCAAACAACCATACGACTGAATCATGATTTGTTAGTTTTCGTGAACTTTTTCTCAAAACAGTTTTATGGTTCGATACTTTTGGATTATGATTTCGGCCCTATGATAAAAATAGTTACTAATATTCCTATCAGATTTAAATTATTTTGCTTCCTATCAGTAAACACGGATTTAAATAATTTCTTTTATTGCTAAAATTCAACAAATATTTGTCAAATATTGTGTTCGTTATTTTGTTCCGTCATAGATATTAGAGAGCCTGGGACAAATATTTACGAGAACAAGTTGATACAAGTCAAATTAGCACAGTGAGAGAAGAAATTAACAAAATAGAAAGCAAGGTAGTCAGGTTAGGTAAATGATATATATTTAAAAAAGAACAGATTAGATGTATGAAATAACGTTTAACCTCAAAATATAAAGAACATATATAAATGAATAAATATGAGTCAGTGTTTGAAGGTTTTGAAGGTTTTCCGCCACAAATTATGATTGGTTTGTAGATTATAATCAGAATGTTTACACATTTTGGTATGGCTCAAATTAACAGTTACTGATTTTATGAATTGATATCATATCTTCATCTAATTGTCTTTATCATTTTTCTCAAATCACGCTTGAACAAGCCATTATAGAAGATGTGAATAAAAGATATAGTACATAGTTTAATTTTAATTATCACTATATACTTAACATATTTAAAAATTTTTATGAATAAGACAGTTGTTCATTACTGTTCATTATGCAAGAAGGGATATCCTTCTTCTTAATGACAATGTCTATTATTTAATAGTTTAATGCAAGAGTTGAAATAATGTTAAGTGAATATTACTTCACAGTGTAATATACATAAGAATCAAATGATAAAGTTTTGATTATACATGACAAAATTGTATGTGACATATGGCATTGAGGTATAGTATTGATGAGTATTGTTCATCCACCTATTCCTTGATTTATTCAGGCTGGAATGTATGTATGAATCGTGATACGTGGTTTATGCATGTAAATTTCCAGATATGAATAGAAATCATGTTTATCCTTATCTGGAACATGTTGTTTTTAACTCTAAACATTTTTGATATTAGCTTGTCATTGAATATGTGAATGAAAATATTTACTGTACAAATCGATTACCAGATGGTTACAAATATTATGATCAAGCTCTGAACGTGAAAGGAAGTCTGTCAAACAAAGCAGGTGAAGAGTTTTTCAGGCTAAAAAAAATTCGTTTCACTATGAGCTATGCTTATTTGTAATCATATGGTTAGACTTTAAAAGTTTCATTTACAATCATCGAAAAGAACTTGTTCAAATTTATTTAACTTGTTATTACTATAGGCTTTTCCACTGAAGTAATCCTATGACACTACTTCAACTATTTAATGTTAGAAAAATGTCTTTTATCAAGTATGTGTTAACTGAAACAGCACTTTAAAATGCATTTTCATATGTTAAATACACATAACTCTGAGAATAAGTGTGTTTTCTAAATGTTTAACCTGTTCGTACAATTATTAGCGCACAATCAGTTTAGCTGTGTTTTAATCTTTGTCAACACTATTGTTTGCACAAAATCTTTGAAATTATGCTGAATACTTAAACGTTTTATAGTGTCTATCATAGCCGACCTGATCTATCTATTTCTTGTTAAATATAACATTAAAGTTGATTACTTTTTGTTCCTGTCTTTTATTAGAATACTTTGCTTATTTCCTGTTAATGAATATAGATAGACAAACAAGCTTCCCATAGTTGAAAGAAAGAAATGCACACACATAATTACTGGTTTGTGCATTACATTATTTATCACTTTAGGATATATATATATAATAATATAATATTGGGTGTACGAAGTCATCTAGAAAACAGTGACAATAGCTGTCATATTTGCTGTAGTATTCACTTGTCTAAGACGGCGTGCTCTCACTACAGATACTAATTATGATTTTACTATACATATATAAGTCAAATCATATTAAGAAAAGTGGATTTATTTCTGAAAGATATATCAATCTATGTAGATTTACAGTTAAATAAGAAGTTTAGTTCAAGAAATTCTATAAGGCAGATTATAGTTCTGAATATAAGATTGAAGACATCAATAAAATATTGTTTTAATTAAATCATTCGACAATTTAGAAAAGGCGGTTTGTATGATTATACAAAACAGTTATAATTCCAAAATCATTGAATTTAAATGTATATGAAATTGTTTCTTATTTATTAAAACTTCGGTTTATCTAGATCATTTTGTATTCATTATTTTAATTTCGTTTCTTTCTTGATAATTTGTAATAGCCACATTGGGTTTCATTTTGGTTGAATTTCCTTATTTATTATGTACATTTACAATTCGTTAACATTTACAGACAAATGAACTAAACATATTACTATTGTTTCCTTTTCTTTTGGAATTTTGAACGCTTGTATATTAATAATTAATAATAATTAATAATTAAAAATGTATAATTTTCCGGAAGTAAAATATTACCATTTATTTTCAATAAAACTTATCCTAACTAGGTTTTATCTAGATTAGCATCGGTAATAATATTAGTAGTAATATAAAAAAAGACATGCTTTTTATTATGGTATCAAAAATTAGATTAATAAACTTTTAAAAGTAAATCTCTTTGAAAATAATATACTGATTTGAAACATGCAACAAACTGAATAGGACAAAAGGCGCGTCATGGATTCCGTTGTCAGTCACTATCCATCTTTGTTTATAAAGCTTTTGACTTCAAGCAATATTGAAGCAGTCCACACAGGATGTATATATGCCAATAAAAGACTGATCAATTGCAGTCCTAAATAACAATGAGAAGATAAAATTAAACAACACCAAGTGAATATGAATAGTTCTAATGTCAAACTTCTATAGAAATATCAATAATCTATAAATATAATAGGAAAAAGTATGTACAACTTTATTGATTCTTTTTTTTTCTATTTGATAACAACTGAATCATAGATATACATTAAAAAATAAAATAAACTGGATATAGTGCTGGAAAATATCGATTTCTTACCGTGCAACACCTTTTAAGTTGAGATGTATCATGATTATTATTGTATTCTAAGCACATTTAAAAGTATAAGTAATTTATTTTCCAATACTACCGTTCTGTAAATGAGGTATCATAATCATAGATGAATAATATATTAGTATTAGGAAGTGACGTTTTCATCTTAAAAATACTAGTTTTATTCAAAAAATTTATTCTGAGTATCAGTTAAACATCATTTAAGAAGTGAATAGGTTTGCTTTTGCTAAATATTAAAAGTCTTATAAACAGTAGCAGACTGTTAAGACATTACGTAATACATAATCAGTTTATATCATGACGTTTAATGTTGTCTTTTTCATCAATTATAATTGATAATAAATAAGAGTAACAAAAATGTATTTCATATTAATCAGTACTTTTAAACTGGCTGATGTCTGATTAGTATAGTTCTCAATAGTGTCCATATTCCGTTGACGCTTTTACAATCTAATCATCCATTAAAGTGACTAAATGTCAACATATATGGTTGCGTCACTTGTGATAAGAATTTGAATCACTTGGGAGCTATATTTTCCTTAAGAATACAATTACATTTCATTGATTTATGCCAATTAGCATTAAATTGATGTTGATTTTCTTCAATCGATTAACATCAGATATTTTACAATGAATTTGTATATTAAAATTAGAACACACTATAAAACTACTGTAAGTTATACACACATTAGTTGATTGTTGAATAGACCATTCTTAAATAGTTTCTTTGATTTAGTTATTCAGGGATAACATATAAAAGGATTTATTAATTTGAATGACATAATATTCATTTTTCATACTATTGTGGTGTGTGCTACTTATATTGACATAAGTGGTAGATGATGTTAGTCGTGAACAGAAGATCTGGCAGCAAAGAGACAAAAGGATCGAACAGTAAAGAATGGAAACTGAATGCAATTTATATGCAGATGCAAGAACACTGAAGTCTGAGTCATTTTGAGACAATTGATGGACATTTTGCAAATTAAGCATTTACTTTATGATTGTTAGATTTTACTAACAAGTCCTATGATTTTATGTTAAATACATTCAATTGTTCCCACTCGTGTTCTGTTCAGTACACTATTCTCAAATAATAAAATATTATTATTAGGTGAAATTCAATAAGACATTTCAAATAAGCACATAATACTTGTCTTTCTTCTTGATTGATCCTATTGTTTATTTTTCATTTGAAGTGATCAGTTATTTTGATTGTCTAATTTATTCTTCCAATAGTGATGTTTCCTTTTCTAGTCATTTTATATTGCTTGTTATTAGTTTATTATTATTATTGTTGTTTCTTTATTATCTTTATTTCAATGAGTTAACTGATGTCATTTCTTTAGTTTTTCTTGGAACTATGTATGACAGAGTAGTTTACTTTTCTCATTCTTGGAACAGAATATATATATATATATATATATATATATATATATATATATATATATATATATATATGTTGCCATTCAAATAGGAAATCTTGACAATCTACAAAAGACAAGAATAAAAACTCTACAGAGAATGACTAGCAAGAATTAAAAAAATAAGGAAATATATAAATGAAACAAATATAGAAAGAAATATAATAATAAATCGACTTATTTAAGTGATTTAAGGTGAATTTCATTGAAATATTAATGAAATAATTGAGAATTATGGAACTATTATATTGGTGAAGTATTTTTGTTACATTTTATTCATTATTAACAAAAAGTATATAAGTACTCTATGAAAAGCTAATCATGAACAATTGTTCTCTCATTCAAACTACGAACAGTTTTTCTTTTCTCTACTAATTCACATAAATAAAACTTTGGTTAAATTATTACTAAAGTAAGATGAAATAAGAATTAGGTCATTAGATGAAAATTTGGTAAATTTCGTAGTGTAATGAAAATATCAAATATGTATGAGTTCATTTATTCTATGATTTAACATTAGATTGAGATTTAAAAAATTTATTGGATGAAAAAGTGATTCATTGATTAGTTTCCAAATTATTTTGTTGTGAAATTGATACTACTGAAAAATTACTTACTTACTCACTTAATCCTGTTAGTCCTTGTGAAGGAACATAGGCTGCTCACCAGCATTCTCCATCCAACCCTATCCTGAGCAATCCTTTCTAGCTCCGTCCAGTTGTAATTCATCGTTTTCATATCTGCTTCTATTATCCGACGCAATGTGTTCTTTGGCCTTCCTCTTGTTCGCTTCCCTTCAGAATTCCAAGTTAGGGCTTGCCTCGTGATGCAGTTTGGCGATTTGCGTAATGTATGTCCTATCCATTTCCATCCTCTTTTCCTAATTTCTTCTTCAGCTGGAAGTTGGTTTGTAAATAAATACTTGTACCTTCCTGATGGTGGTTGTTGTAGTTCTCCAAGTTTCAGCTCCATACAGTAGAACTGACTGTCTTGACGTTCATATTGAAGATTCTCACTTTGATATTGGTTGACAGTTGTTTTGAGTTCCATATGTTGTTCATTTGTAGGAATGCGGCCTTTACTTTGCCAATCCTCGCCTTTACATCTGCATCTGAACCTCCTTGTTCATCGATTATGCTTCGCAGGTATGTGAAGGATTCTACATGTTTCAGAGTTTCGCCATCAAGAGTGATTGGATTGCTGTCCTCCGTGTTGTACTTGAGGACCTTGGTTTTCCCCTTGTGTATGTTGAGGTTTACTGATGCACAGACTGCTGCTACACTGGTTGTCTTCATCTGTATTTGTTCGTGTGTATGTGATAGGAAAGATATACATTTCCTTAATGTTTATATTTTTACTATTTTTCCTAATAAATACTGGATTGATCGTCAAAATTATATTTCTATTCAGAATTTAACAGACAATTCAATTACATACCCATGTATGCACCTATATCAGCCAAATTAAATTTGTATGAATCTTCATACTGATAAAATACTTCAATTTATGACATGAATTCTGTTAATTAGTTAAAACATACTCTCTAAACCCGTTTTTATTTCATTTAACACCCCTTAATAATAGAATGATTAATTAAACTTTTCATGATTTATCAATTAAACAAAGGTTAGAATTTTTTTTTTAGTTTAACCTACATGTTTCCTAGAATTTTCAGAATTCATTATTACAAAATCAGTTTGAAATGCTTACAGGAGAAAAGACTATTCGAATATATTGTTATAAATAACCGCATCTATTTCTAAAAAAGATTTTCCTTTTTTCTTATTGATACCCTTTTTATTTATTTTTTCTAGAATACACATATTTAGAAAAGGGTATCTTGTTTCAGCATAAGATTTAAGTTGTGTTTTTTCTTTTCTTCAAACAACAGAATAATTCAAAGGGGGATATTCAATTTTCTATTTAAAACAATGATGTGTATATAATTCTGATAATTTCTATTTACTAATATATTATAAATAGTGTAGAGATACTAAAAATAGAATTGTTTAGGGTTGGATACAATTATTGATTAGTAGTTAAAAGAAATCAAAACACATGTTTGCCTGTTTTTAATATTCAACACATAGTAGTCTTAATTATGGTCTGACATTTTAGAATTCTTAATTAGTGTTTGTATCAAATCCTAGTTATTTTCTCTATCACTTAGTAGGCAATTATCTTTCCTTATGCAGATTTTTCTTTCGTTTATTATTTCAAATGAAGTAGTTACTAATATATTTAAATCCAAAAAAATAGTTATTTCGATCATCCCATTATTGTAAATATACTTGATTTACTAAGAAAATATTGTTGACAGTTGATTTACTGGACAAAACATTGAACTTTCAACGTTCAAAATGTTCGTTTAAACTACAAGCCAACTGTTTTATTTTTAATAACCCATTATAAGTATAACACAGAACATAAAAGTCAGAATTGAGTGTACAAATATATAAATCTGGTTATCAAGTAATCATTATCGGTAACACGAATGCGTTTTTCTGCTTAAATATGTATTTAAGAGAACACTTTATTATTTTATAGAATAAGTGAGTACACATAACAAATTTAGATGGTGGTTGGGAGTAGTCAACAGGAAACCCTGGACCCGGGTTTCGTGCTATTTGGCACTCGTCAGCAAGGTGTACCTGTAATCTTGAGGGAACTGGTGCGGATTCGATCTCGTGCCACGTGATCGATAGCATTCGATCTGCACTAATAATAAGGACTAGACAAGCATGACATTGATCACCACCCAGTGATCAATCAATTGTGAACACATAACAAAAGAATATAATTTCAAGAAAGGAAACTTATCTGTTAATATGAGAATAACAAATTATGAGGTTAATTACCGTACAATATTTGACAAACTTGAACTCGACTTTACATTTAAAGTAATAGCCAATTTTCCTACATTATGTTTCACTACTGAAAGGTTTATCTACACTATTTTCACATATTTTTCTTGAGTTTTACTTCGTATGATCGAATTTCAAGAAATTTTCATAAATAGCACCTTGATAACAGTTTTCTCGTTTATTTTTCTTTTCAGATGGCTGGTTTAATATTAGGCTTATTACTATTAAGAAGTTTTTCAATGGATGATTATCCAGAGATTAATTTACGTGAAAATGTATAAACTGTCAAGATAGAATCAAATTTACACATATTTATATATCTACTCATAAAATTTGCATTTCTGAAAAGAAAAAACCCGACTGATAATTTTACTTCATTCCAAAATATATCAATCTCCTGTCTGTATATCTTCCTCTCTCTATTTATATATATCTATACTTTTTATTCGACTCTTATTTCTTGTTTTATTCCCAAACCTATTGTTTGTATTTCATGTTCATTTCATTGTATCATCTTTTTTCTTTTCACAGATCTACTTTGTTTCTTTATCTCTCTTTGAATATTTTATTCAAAAATATAATCAATCGTTTTCATTTGATGTTAAAAAGGCGGATTACATAAAAAGAATTGATCAATATTATCTTAATTCATTCGTCTATTATCTGTCTCATTATCAAACAAGGAATAGAATACTAACATAAACATTCTGCTATCAAATATATACATATATATTCATATCATTTATTTGTTTCAATGTTGCCTCATGTGAACTTAATTTCTTCTATATACCTTTCTTTTTGTTATCGATGCCAGTAGATTTTAACCTTATTCCATTACTAATATATACGAGAGTAATCATTTGAAAAGAACGGTAGCAAGTTATAATTTTAGTGTAATTCAATAAAGAAACATTAATTTGATCAGAAACAATAATGAAATTATTAAAATGTATACATATATCTATCTGTATATCCCTCATATATCAGATACAATATTTATACATATTTTCCTAATGGATTATTTTGGTCTTTATCTTCTTTATCCTATTATCAACCATAAGGTGAACTTGCACTTCATAAACTATAAAGTTGTCTTGAAATGTTCATTTAGTTATTACACAATTTTGTTTACTATATAGTGTACAACAGCTTATCGTTTTTTTTTCCTATAGCCGTTTGTTACTATGTTGTGAATTCCTTTTTCTTTTAGATTTACTGAAGTTTATTTAAACTTTAATAACTATCTTTCTATTCATTTTATTTAACAGTAATTCTATTCAAAATAGAAGACAATCATTTTATCTCACATTTAACACAATACAAATAAGAGTAGTGTAAATGTTTGGTTTGTTTGTTTAAAAGTGCCATCATCTTGCAAATCATAAACCATTTGATTTTGTTTTTAGAAAAAACCTGTTAATAGTACAAGATTATCAGACATGTAGAGAAAACATTTCTGTAATCAATTTATAAATATTTTTTGATCTATCCCATTGGTTTATTTGTTAAGTTCATTACATCATTATTCACTCATCTCCACGTTGATTTTCATATGTTTGATTACAGATCTGTGTGTATTTGTGTTTTTTTTAATAAAAAACATTGTAAAGTTGTTTTGATGAAACAGTAACTGTATATTGTACTGGTCAAGTGACATTCATTATCTTTATAAATGAAATATTCAAAGTGAATTTATATTAATGTACTTTATGGCGAATTGATCTATTTCAAGTAGTATAGGAGTTGTGGAGATTATTAAGTTTTTGATTGAGATCATGAACCGATTGATGTTAGACCATCACAATTGAAAACCTGGAAGCACTGGACGGCCGTTTCGTCCTATTGTGGGACTCCTCAGCAGTGCGCATCCATTCATATTGTTAATAACCAGTTAGCTACTAAAAAATAATACGTAATATTAAATAACCGTATCAATTTACAGCTCTGTCAAAATCAAAACCATATTACTTGATAATGAATAGCTCAACGTAATGAATCAAGTGATTATACAAAAGAGTGATTATTACTTTACAATGTGTACTCAGAATAGAAAAACTTGACAGATGAACATGTCTAGATTTGATAAATCTAATAAATTGAATTTCTTTCGATAAACAAATTACTATAATATGATGTGGTTAGTTGTTAACTACTCACAAGAAAGCTTAAATTTGTGTAGATTTGTCCTCAAATGAATAATTTTAGTGTACTTACCAAACGGTTCATATAATTAAATGTTGCATTCGAAATATCACTTCAGTAATATACATGTGAGAAACAAGAAAAAGATAATAATTAATTTTCTTAGATTATTTTCTGATCTCAGAGCTCATCATAAACATTTAAGCAAACTGATTCATCTAAAATGTGCTACTATACCAACAAAATAGAATCGTATTAAAGCCTGGAATATTTTAAAATAACTGAACTGGAAAAAGTACTATAAACAGAAGAAAAAAACGATACCTAAAGCAATAGGTTCATTTAAATATCTACCGATTTTAAGTATCATTGAATCTCAATACATCATAACACAACTAGATTCTAACTATATTTATCTTGTTCCATAAATGCTTACAAATCTATTTTATTGATAAAAGTCATACTGTCTTATTGTACATTTATCCAATCCTTTGATATCCCTTATATTTAATACTTTATTTTGGCATTAAAATATAGTCAAATATTCTCAATCGTATAGCGAAATATAACACTAATATTATTCAATCATAATAAATCATTATTGATGCTAAAAAGATAAGTATATCCTAGAAATAAAACTCCTTGACATACACATGCTCGTTTCAAAAGGGCAGTGATTTTTGTACTTGTCTTGATTATCCTTGCTTTGTGTACTTGTAGCACCAAAAAGCATTCTTAGTCTACTTTAACTGAAAGTACTTTGGTTAAGGTTTAAAATTTCTGCCAAACTTTGTCCTATGTTACTTTTTTTACTCATTGACTGACACTCGTGTTCAGATTGTGATCATATTTTGTTTTAAACCTTTTTAATCAAATTACAATGGTTTGTAAGACTTATAAATGTGGACAACCAAACTGCTTGTTCCCCGTTGAGGAAGGAATACAGTGCGATGAATGTAAAAAGTGGTACCATAAGATGTGTACGCGTCTAAGTCCTATGGCATACAAAAGATGCTCGAAGCCTAACTCGCCTTGGCTTTTTATGTTTTGCAGTACAAATAAGAAGTTACTAATTCAGGAAGCTATCACTGAATTCCCAACCTAATTAAAGAAGGGAGTGAATTTGAACTGATAGAGGAAGATCAGGAAAAAGCAGAAGCTATGGCTGACTATTTTGGGGCAGTTTTCACTCTGGAACCTCCTCTAAACAAAGAACCAGACCAAAATAAAGAGTCAACAAACCACCTGCTCAACGTGGACTTCGGTCAAGACGATATGCTTAAGGCTCTTAGCACCTTAAACATGGAAAAGTCGGCAGGATCAGATGAACTACACCCCAAAAATCTTGAGAAATATTGCACAATATATCGCGGCCCCACTGACTGTGATATTCAATATGTCACTTAACCAAAGTGTGTTACCTATGGACTGGAAGGAATCAATCGTCACTCCCATACATAAAACAGGACCAAGACAAGTTCCATTGAACTACAGACCTGTAAGCCTCACCAGTGTTGTAGTTAAAATGTTGGAAAGAATAGTTAAACGGACCATAATAGCATTTATGGAAACAAATAACTTGCTAAATATAGAACAACATGGTTTTAAAAAGGGTCTATCTTGTACACCGAACTTCCTTATAGTAAGGGAGTTTTGGATAAAGACGCTAGACGACGAAAACTCAGTGGATGTTGTCTACATAGACTTCAGTAAGGCTTTTAACAAGGTGCCAACTAATAGACTGCTATTGAAGTTGAAAAACCTTGGTATTTACGGACCTCTTTTAAAATGGATTAAGGTGTTCCTAGTAGGCCGTAGACAGAAAGTAAGAATAAATTCCAAGTGCTCCATCCGGAGACCAGTACTTAGTGTGGTACCTCAAGGTTCCGTCCTAGGTCCTTTACTTTTTGTAATGTATGTTAATGATCTTCCAAGTATAGTACAGTATCCAATGTTATTATACGCTGACGATGTAAAGATCTGGCGAATAATAACTGGAGACAAAGACGCATTTACTCTTTAAGCAGACTTAAATAATATGATTAACTGGTCTAAAGAGTGGCTGATGCCTATCAACGCGGTAAAGTGTGTCTACATGCACTTGGGGATTCAAAGGTTAATACGTACAACATAGGGGATGTGTCATTACCCGTAATCCGGTCTCATAAGGATCTAGGGGTGACAGTGAGTAATGATCTTAAGACGACGGCCCATTGCCGGAAGGTCGCAGCCAAGGGGTCTCGAACCCTCTGGGCTTTAATAAGGACATTTACTAAGTTAGATACTACCATGTTCACCACAGTATACACATTCTTAGTGAGAACTAAGCTTGAGAACTGCGTTCAGGCTGCAAGCCCCTTTTCAAACGGTGACTCGGATATCCTAGAAGAAGTACCGAGGGCAGATACCTGTGCAAATCCAGAACTCCGAGGTTTACCATACAAAGGGCGGCTTGAAAAGCTGGACGTCTTTACTCTGTCCTATCGCAGATTAAGGGGAGATCTGATTTTGATGTACAGAATACTGAGAAATTATTTTGAACCTAACTTATTCTCTCTTTTTCTTCTCACTAGATGAAGACATCTCAGAGGACATAGCGGGCGAGTAGAAAAGCCAAGGACGAACAAAATATCCATGGCTTACAAGTTTTCACAGCGAGTCATCAATACTTGAAACCTGCTGCCTGAAGCAGTGCTGTCCGCACCTTCAATTCACTCTTTCTAGAGAAGACTAGACACTCACAGAAGCATACTAGAAAAGGAATAACATAGGCCGTAGGCCTTTTGTTCTTACTACATAAATCTGAAGCTGATTCTAAATATAATCGAATTTTACCGTAGCAACTAATCGCAAATATCTGCTGATAAACATAAGTAACAAATTCATTTCACATAAATGTATCCAACTTTGAAAATTAGTTATTGAATATGAGGAAATCATTTATTGACTATAAAAAAAACTTTATTTTATTTCTAATCAATCCAAAATAGTTATTATTTCATTAATTCATTGATAAGATTTCGTTTATCATTCTAACAACTAATTATATTAACTAATGCTAATAGAGAAATAGAATTAGTAATGATAATAGAATGATTATTATCAGACAAATAAATCATATTATTATTATTATTATTAT